AAATGCCTAGGGCATTAAGAAGGAAAAAAGACTAGAACTGGATATGACTAAAGCTATTAAACAACTGTCAAGGACGATCTGAGGTTTACCAAGGATTGGTTGCTTGTGGATAGTTGGAAGTATAGTAATGAATGGACCATATTGATATAATTCTGAATAGATAGGGATTCTATTAAGAATGGGTAGTCATAGGGCAATTATGGAAAAGGTTCCATAATGGGAAGTTGGATATCGAGAATCTATGAGTAAGTTAGAAACTTTTATGCAAAAAGGATGTTCAAAGAAATTCACCTTAAATATGAGACTTCGCTTCGATGGAATTGGTCCAGTAACCAATGTCCAAAGGGAATACTTTGTAATGTATTTTGCCAAGTCACTATGACTTTTGTGCATAGTCATTACAAAAGGATCACTACATATAAGCTTAGAATCTAACAGATTACAGTAAGTGGCAAGGACTTGGTATTCTTACACTTACGATAAGGATTTGGAATTGTGAAATGAGTGTCATTGGAAATGTTTACAATTGATCTTTTTCACAAAGTAAGGATCATAGATAAACATAGTGTGCATGCTTCGAGCATGGGATGACTATTGTTTTAATTCAAGTCTTTAGTTGATTAATCGAAACATTATACAATGAATAATGTGTAATCAATATGGTGATTAAATAAAAGGTGTTTTATTTATATTCAAAAGTTTTGAGACCATATTGGATTCGATTATTCTTGTGTTTCAATTTGCATGTTTTGACTTCCCGAGTAAACTATGTTATTCAAACTATCCACAGTCGATCATACTTTGGAAGTAGGTATTGAGGCAAGACTGTCATGAATCCGTCTGTAGATTGTCTAAAGTGTTTTAGACATAGCACAAGTTTGCTGCAGTGTTCATGAGTACTTCTGGAATAAGATTCGAGTATTGGATTAAACCCATGCTCATCTGAATCACTTCATGGATTTTATCACGAGTAATTGTGAGACGATAATATCTTATATTCTTGAAACCAAGACATGTGAGTTGTAGTTTACAAGTCCGTTGCACATTGACATATGTAAATGCACCAGTAACTTTGGTGTTATAAAACATATTGTTGTATGTGATTTGATGAGTAAGTACAAGCAAGCATTTGAGTCGAAGTTTATCCATTCCTTTTACCCAATGTGGGATAAAAGTGATATCCGTGGGCCCCTCGATGATTTAGTGATGACAACCCTAAGCGCTTGGCCAAGCCTGGACTGATTTGATTTGTTCAATTAGTCGGTCGTCATAAATTGGAAATCGGGAAACAACACATGAATAGAGAGAATGATTATAATCAATGTCTCAGTTCATACGATATATAGAATGGAGGAATATATGATCCCTTATCTAATGGATTCGTCATTGACTAGCTCAGAGTTCGACAACGGCTTTTGAGAGCTATGATTGCTAGTCGGGATTTTGGAGTCATTCTTGCAATAATAGTTATTAGATTTATCCAAGTGGGAAACTGTTGGATTAGGTGTCTAAGCCCATAACTATATTTGGTATGTACTTGACCCGAGAGTAGCATGGTCCATTTGGGTTTCCTTCACCAGAACAATCTGACAGGATGGATATTTGAGAAAGAGGCTATTTATGATTTAATAATATATTATAAGTATAATATATTAATTGAGAAATTATAATATTTAATTAGTATTGATCAAGATTAATTTGGAATTAATTTAGTGATCAAAAGAGACTAATTAAATTAACAGGGACTGATTATGTAAATCAGTGATATATATTGTTTGGGCTATTGATCCATGATGGGCTAAGTTTATGTAAGTATCCATGAAGAGTTAGCCCACATGAGATATGGATCATAACCCAAGTGTATGGATTAGGGTTTACCCATGACTCTTGGAATCCTATAATATATATGTGTTATCCCTTAGCCAAAATTGATACCTATGCATTCTAAGAGAATCATAACCGATTTGAGTGTGTCTAGCCTCTCTCTACAAGTCTTCCTTTGTTCATGGTGTTTGTGAACCATTTGAGGCATCACACTTAAGGTGTTAAGCTCTTGAAAGGCCAAAACTACAAGCTACAATAAAGATGTATTATTCTAACTAGTTTTATGATTCATGTACCAACATTGTATGCTAGTTGTAGGCTTCATGCTTTGGAAATTTTATTGCATGTATAACTAGAGAAAACTTAGATCCAAAGCTATTAGGGTTGTATGTGCACCATAGGAGTGTTATAGTACCCAAAACCCAACAATAAGGAGCTTAAATAAGGTCCAAGACCCTTAAATAAGGTTTGGGTCTGATTGGAGTACGCCTAGCATACTCCGAAGAGCACACACGACCATCCTGGTCAGTACGCCCAGCGTACTCCGAGGTACGCCGCTCGTACTGCTCTCTTCACTAGTACGCCCTACGTAACCTTTGTGTACGCCCCGCGTACCCGACTAAACCTTAAAACCACCAAACTTCTGAAGGCCATAACTTCTTTGTTATAAGTCCATTTCCAACGATCCTTATATCCATGGAAAGGTAATGAGAAGCTCTACACTTATATTAACTCATACCATCCTTAAGACGTTCCGAACAAAAATCCAATTTCCACAAAATCCCGAACTGACACTTTACCGAAATACCCTTATGCTCTAAAACACGAACCGAACACCCGGATCACTTCAAATACATCGCTCGCACCTAAATGAGCCTAAATCTCACCTTTTCAAAGGCCCTAATCCTTATGATGACCGATCTTCGGGCTACAACCTCGAATTAGGAATCGATTCGGAACAGGGCGTTACATAAGTTGTTTGATAAAATTGATCAAAAAAACTATCCAAACAGGATATGTATCATACGTATATCTTCATTTTCGAACATTTAGTGTCTATTATTACAATTCGGTTTTCAAAAGTTTTTGCAATTCGGTTTTCAAGAGTCAAAACATTTAAAAAAACTATTTTCTTGACTAGGTTATTTTAGTTGATTTGGCAGGGTGTTTTAAGCCTTTTGACATGATTATTTGGAAACAGAATCCAGTTATTTGAATATATGAGCTCTGCAATGGAAATATGCTTATAGTATTTATCGGATGTCCACACTCTCGATCAATTAAAGTCTCTACAAGAAACCCACTAAGTCTAATACAAGAGAAATCTATTAGGCAAATGTTAAAGTTTAATATCATAAATATTGTCATTGTAATCAGTAAAGCGTTATACAAACAACTTAGTTCCATGTTTTCAAACTTATCAGATAGATGGTCTTTTGTGGAAGTTTATCTTAATGTTTAATATCATAAACATCATCATTAGTTAATTTTATTCAAATTTTTTAATAGAACAACATAATTTCTAATGAAATATAATGATGATAGAACAGTGTATGTCTTTTAAAGATGTAATTTAATATAGATCTTATTTTTAGTATTATGTCTCCATAGAGATCCCAAATGCATTGTTTATATATATATATATATATATATATATATATATATATATATATATATATATATATATATATATATATATATATATATGAATGATCTAACTATAATTGGATAGATTTGACATAATACAATGCTATAACGGGAAAAAAATGAACATTTGTCATTCTATAAAAAAATATATAATCGATCAATTATTCCATGCCATTTGTGTCACTCAAGTTGTCTATAATGCTTTTTAGATGATTGATAGTCTCTAATTTAAGCTAATTGAATGTCACAAATACTCTTAGTTTGCTGATACTATTATGTGTCACAATTATTATGAATACATGCGTGAGATTTCTCCATCACATGGATCAAAGATTATCAACCTTGGTTTTCTACATTATCTAAATTATAGCATTTTAGGTTGACGGATTTAAAAAAAATAATCAATCATACCATTACACTTTGAGGTGTTTTTAGAAAAAGTGGCCAATTATAGCTTTGAACATTGAGTTTTTGTTGAATAGTTAATCGATCACACACACCATGACCGTTTGAGTTTTTTTTAAACTAATCAGTTATAACATTGTGCTTTAAAAGATTTTACGGTAACTTTTATGGCTTCTTACTAACTGAATTAATCAGTCATTTACATTAGGTTTTGGTCTACTAAGCCAAAAGATTGGTATTATAGTTTATTTTGATAACAACTTTTATGAAAAAATTATAATTTACAAAAGAAATCGGTGATAATTTATGAAGTGAGAAGCCATATTGATCATTCTTTTAAACTTGTAATTTAATGTAGATCTTATTTTGAGTATTTTGTCCCCCACATCGAAAGTAGGATGCTATAAAATAAAGTAAAGTTGATCAATTGTTTTACATCCACATTTCAAGTCACCATTGGTTACTTGGCAAAGCATCATCAATTGTATAGACATTGGTATTATATAAAGAATGAAAGATAATTCATTTATCGGTCAACCTGTCCACCGGACGATTATAACACTAGTTATAATGGTTGAGAATGAAAGCTAAAGAAATCGGACGGCTGAAAATCTAACAACGGTTATCCACTCACCGTTGTTAGTAATAATAATAATTAGTAAGAAAAATGTAAATAACTTGCTACTATGGATAAAATTAATTGAAATATATAACTTGCTACTATTGAAGTATAAAATTAATTGATACAAATCACAAAATACTTTGCTATTTGTCATGTTGAAGATGAGGTAATTAAGTTCTATTCAATGTGTATCCTTTTAAACTTGGGTATTAATTAATTAATAACAACAATACATAAAAAAAATGTAAAAAAAAACATATTCTATATATAAAAGCTTAGATAAGGCACAACAACCTTTGATCTTATTTGTTCTCACTATTAAGTTGCTCGTCAAAATGATGAATAGAGAGTTGGAGTTACAAGCAATGGGATTTTCTTTACTGCAGTGGCTCCATCGTTCTCTGTCATATCAATACTTGTAGGGCTTGATTTAGAAGGAAGTTGCCAATTAAAGTAGTATAACATTTGAGCAAGAGCAGACTCGATGGAAATCAAACCAAAATTAATCCCAGGACACATCCTCCTCCCTGATCCAAAATGGGACGAACTCAAAGTTTGTACCCATGAAATCAACAGAAGAGCTGTTGAATCGCTCTGGTTTGAAACTTTCTGCATCATCCCAATATTCAGGATCAACTGCACATGCAAAAGCGTTGACAATCACTTTCGTTTTCACTGGTATATCATAACCATCGATTTGACAATGCTCTCTACATTCTCTTGGAAGCAACAAAGGTAGAGGAGGGTGAAGCCTTAAAGTTTCTTTGATGATGTATTTGAGGTAAACCAAGTGTTCTAAGTCGCTCTCGGTGATTTTGTTCTTTCCCTTAAATGTTTCTCTCACTTCTTTTTGTGCCTTCTCCATCACGTTAGGGTTTCTCATCAGTTCTGTCATTGCTCATTCGATTGTCATAGCACTTGTATCGGTGCCTCCGCTAAACATATTCTGTGTGAATAAAAAAATGTTAGAAAGTCATCAAATGCTCTATTATCTATATATTGCATTAATTGTACATGCATGTACAAAACTAGTAGTACTCTGGTTTTCTTATTTTGATTCTTTAATTAATATTCGATCAAGTTACCTACTTGCACACTGAGTCAAAGCATTTCATAATATTTTATTTCTATATGAGTACGCATACTTTACCACTCTTGGTATCCGAGTTATCATAAGCTAGTAGGGTTAAAGAGATAGTCTGATTTTTAAAGATATGTATACATACGTATACATAAAATTCCTTACACACATATGTATACATACGTATAAAGAACAAATGGAAGTTAGTTATGCCATGATTTTCATAAGTCTATAATAGAAAAATGCATGGGGCGCATTAACAAGCAGTATGTAGTGTGTATCACTTGATAATTGACCTGTAGCATAATTAAATGTTTCGTTGGTCTCTTTAATACTAATTTGTGACTTGTGAACACTGAAAATAGCATGATGCTTCTGTCATTTAATACTAAAAATATATTATCTTAATTTATAGCGATATTAATTAAATGGAGATATACTCTCATTTTGGCAGCAAGAAAAATCAATGGATATGCATTGTGAACGCAAGAGGTACTCCATGTCTTATAACAGGCGGAGACATATGTACGTACGCCCTTCAAAATTAAGTATTGAAATATATCCTCCTATATTTTCTTTTATTCTATCATTTTTTTCTTATTCATCCTCATACTCATATTAAATGGATTAAATGGTAAGATGTATCATATTTAATGAAAGTAGTAATACACTTGTTAGTTGTTACCATTCAAAATATGTTGGAAGATAGATAGAATGAAAATATAAGAGAATATTAATTTATCGAATATATAATCATAAAATTCAATTATAAGTAGAATGAAAATATAAAAGAATATTAATTTCTCGAATATATAATCATAAAATTCAATTATAGGAAACTTTCCAAGCAAACCATAACCAATTATAAATTTATAAGATATGTATAAAGTTAAAATCTATATGTTTTATTACGACATTACAATGGAACTAAACCCGGTAAATTGGTATTCAAAATCTTATCTAATGTCCATCACGTCATCTATCCAGGATTTGTTAATTTATGGATGTCACACAATTGAAACTTGATAATAATAGATAATGATATATGTCACAAAATCGTTTAAAGATGGACTTTAATAATTCAATAAAAAAAATTATTCCCCTATTTGTATAATTGCTATTGTGTCATATCAACGCAACAAAATATTTATAGTAGAAATAAAGTCAACGAAAACTTACCACAAAAACAGCTTTGATGTTGTCGTCTGTGATAGGGAACTGTAAGCCACCGTTCTCTTTGATGGTGAGAAGAACATCAAGCAGATCGTCTTCGGATTCTTTGTTACTTTGTCTTTTGATTTTCCGTTCCTCAAAGATTTCCTCAAAAATCTTATCAAGACTCTTGTGAAGCTGCGTCAGCTTGGATTTCAATCCAGAAATGACCGAAAGGAATCCAAACTCAGGAAACAGATCTGCAACATAAAACCCGCTCACCAATCTCCCCAACTCATCCACAACTTCGATCAATACATCTTGTTGTTTACAGTTACCACCAAACGAAGATTTGCACACGATGTTGTTGATCATTCCCGTTACCTTATTACGTAAGATCACCGGTTTTCCGCAGGTCGATCGAATGAACTCAATGAAATGGTCGGCCTCTTGTTCCCGGAATCCACTGAACGACCGGACTTTCTTGGCGCTTAAAAGTTCAACGGTGATCATCTTCTTCATTTGTCTCCAGTAATCACCGTAAGGGCCAAGAGCAACGTCGGAGCTCCCATACAACACAATATCGGCCACAAGTGCATACGGACGGCTGGCTAGTGCGAGATCGTTGGTTTTGAAGACTTCTTTGGCTAACCGAGGTGACGAGACGATGATGGCGGAGATCTGGCCGAGTTGCATGTGCATGATGGGACCGTATTTCTTGGCTAAGTCACGGAATGCATGGTGCGGCAGTGCTCCGGCGATCTGGTGGACGTTTCCGATGATGGGTAGTTTTGGTGGACCTGGTGGGAGGTTTATAGATTTTGAAGCATTGCGTTTTCTCTTAAGAATAACGAAGAATGAAAGAATGAGAGAGGAGATGAGGACCAGGAAGGTGATGTCGAAGTCCATTGTGGTGATCGAGAAGATGATCGTTGGTGTATCTGTATTTATAGTGCACCTGCAAAACGGGTGTAAAGTGTAAACCCTTTGTAATTTGTGGCAATCACCTGACCTAGTCAATAATCATGTTGCTTTTAGTTCATCCGTTGGATTATTATTATTATTATTATTATTATTATTATTATTATTATTATTATTATTGTTGTTGTTGTTTCTCTATTTATAATAATATCATTTTACCATTTATTAAAAATATATATTCGTTTGATCATACTATTAAAAAATTAAATAGATGTAATAATTAACGAATACGTTAAAAACTTCAAATGTAAAGGTGTGAGCCAATCTACCACTGTTTTTTTTTTCTTATTAAAAATATATTGTTATATAATTTGAAACTTTTCATTAACAACACTCTTTAAATAGTTTTAAAACTAATTAGCAAATGAGAAAACAAAATGTTAGCAAACACAACTCCATTTATTACTAACATAAAAATTACATGTTTCAATACAAAACTCTCTTAGAAAAAAATGGGTCTAGTTTTAGATTCGATATTTGTTATTATTAAAAGTAATATATATATATATATATATATATATATATATATATATATATATATATATATATATATAGAAGTGGGTTCGTGTACAAATGAGATTAAGATGTGAAAATGAAAAGAACCAATAGGAATTAAGCATGTGTATAGGAGTAGTTTTTTTTATTTCACACGTAATGTATTGGTTTTTATATTTTATTTTATTTAAAAGGTTATAAATGTAATTTATCCATGTAGTTATCTATTATGAATGTAACCGGCGGTGAATGTTGATTAGTCGGTTTTCAAATTGATGTAACCGTTTATTCGTTGTTGTATGAAGATCTACGTTTTTGTTATTTCAAAATTTATTCTGAGTTTTTCTTTTAAGTTTTCTCTACTAATAGATTATGTATTTATATTTTATTCAACATAATGTTTGCCTTTAAAGCTTTGTTAGATGCGAAAGTTAACAGGAATAGGGTAAGTTCGCATTCAAAAGTCATGAAGAAATTTCCAATTGCATCTCAGAAAATGGTTTCCAGGAAGAAGGATTATTTAAATGAGAATGTGGACAAAGTTGATTTCATGGTTAATTCTCGTGATCATCCTATCGAAATAGATGATGATGAAGTATCAGAAGAAGAAAATTTTCGATGTGGAGAAGTATCTCTTGATGCAATATCTAATCTTTTTTGCTCATGACGTTGCTTTGAAAGTGCAGTGTCAAAATTGAACATAAAATTCACAAGTAAGTTGGTTGGACTTGAGAAAACATTGAAAAATGAATTAGAATTTTCAGATCAAGATGTAGTCTTCATAAGTCCACACATTGGTATATCTCTAAAATAGGAAGGAATCCATTTGTCTCTCTTGTTGAACATATCATCTAACCATTTATTATCCTTCAAATGAATTCATTCAACATCAAATCCCATTTGTTCTCAAATTCTGATGGTTCAATATTCATATTCCAAACTAGTTGATTTATGCGTTTCTTGAAATCTGAATTTGAAACTACATCAGGTTCAATCTGTCATGTAAAATTTGTTTTTATTAATATTTTTTCATAAATTATTCTTAATTCAATAAATTAACCAATTTATTACCTTTGATGGCATTTTTGACATTATGTGCCACGTACATAATCTGTGAGTACATCCTTGAAACACCTTTGATATGGAAGAAGATAATGTTGCATCCATATCTGACAGAATCATTGTTGCTTTCTTCTTATGTGATGACAAAAAAGCTTCTAATAACCAAGAGTATGATTCAATTGTTTCATCTGATATTAGTCATGCTCCAACATTGATTGTCTTTTCATGGTTGTTTATAGCAGTGAAAGGAACAAATATCATATTGTACCTGAAAATATTTTTAAAATGTATCCATTATTGTATATTGTAATGCAATAAATATAAATTTTACCTGTTTGTTCTATATGTTGCATCCATTGATATAACATCAGAAAACTTAGAGTGGTTTTCTTTTCCTGTTTCATCAACCCAAAATATAGCATTTAGTTCATCATCATCCAACTTATATTCAAAATGGAAATTTTGATAATTATCTCTACGAATTATCAACTGGTGTACAACACATTGAGCATCATTTGGTCCAACAATATTGGTATAATCTCTCCAAAAAATTTTGAAATCATTCTTTGTTGCTGGCAAATTATCATATCCTCCCTTTAATGATGCTCTTATCTTGTGTGCTTTTGTGGCACCAATGTTGATAGTTGAAGCTTTAACAATTAGTTCCTGATCAAAAATACTAAGACGATGATTTGGAGAGCAGATGCTTTCTTCAGTAAATTCGGTAAGTGGATGGTTATGTGCTTCTTCAAATGCATATACAGTGATTGTATTTGTTGCAGCATTTCTATCAAAACCAATCATAGCCATACATCCAGTGACTTTAGAATATGATTTCCTTTCCTGCTTTTTCAGTCTTTTGGATGTAAGAGTATCAATGGTTTTTTTTTTCTTGGATTTCCATATCTGTTGCATCTTACTTGTTTTTTCCTTAGACTGTAGTCACCATATGAGGTTGTTGTTCCTAATATAATTCCAAAACCAGCAGCTTTTGCATAATTTCTATACATTTCAATTCCTTCATTTACACTTGACACAATATGTCCTTTTTTAGGAATCAAATTTGTAGCAACATGTGGAATATATAGATCATCTTGATTTATGTAAGATGTTTCTGTCCAATATTCAAAAAGCTTAATATTGAATTTAGTAAATATGTTTATAAATATTTATTTAATATAAAGTATGTAAACATGCCTTTATCCTTTTCCTTTGCTGTCGAACTTGAAGTTCCTTTTGAAGGTTGAATGGAAGATTCAGTTTCTTCATTTAAAGAAATATTAGTAATTTTAAATATAGTTTAGTAATGTAAGTCAAATTTAAATATTGAATAATAACATCAGAAATATACTTCTTATAATTTATTAAAACTTGCATTTATCACCATCGTTGAATGTTGATATTGAAGGTCCAATAGTTAAAACAATGAAAGAGTCTTGCGATTCATGATTTCCTGTCCAATATTCAAAAAGATTAATATTGAAATAAGTATATATATATATATATATATATATATATATATATATATTAATAAAAAGTAATTAAACATGCCTTTAAGATTTTTCTTTGTTGTGGATCCTGAAGTTCCTTTTGAAGGTTGAATGAAGGATTCAGTATCATCGTTAAAAGAAATTTATGGAATTTTTAATATAGTGTAGTAATGTTAGTCAAATCTAAATATTGAATATTAACATCACAAATATAGTAATTATAATGATTGAAAACTTGCCTTTATCACCATCGTTTAATGTTGATATTGAAGTTCCAATAGTTAAATCATTGGAAGATTCATTTGCTTTATCAATTAAATCAGTAGAACAAATCTGTTCATATTCTTTAGTAGACATCTCTTCAATTTGATATCGTAATGAAATCAATCAATGATTTTAATGGAGATGATTTCGTCGATCATAAACAGACTGAAGAAGTTAATTTTAAATTAATATGTCAGTTTTTGTTTGCAGTTATTAATATGAACAACTTATTCAATCACGTTTTTATGTTAATTATTTTCTTACCCTTTATTAATAATTTAAAGTAAACAAATGAAGAAAACATGAATAATGATGTGACATTTTCTTATTGGTTCCTGCATTTTCACATATTGTTTGCATTTTCGCATGAGCCTTCCCCTATATATATATATATATATATATATATAGATATATATATATATAATATATATATATAATATATATATATATATATATATATATATATATAAGAACTTGCTATTTAAAAATATAACCAACAAAAATCTTTTTTTCACCAATATAAAATTAAGTAATGAGAATGAAAAATATATCATGGTATAAATCAACGATATTTACGTTTAATAACCATATTTTTTTGAAATATATATAATATTTTTGTTTGTGGCCTAACACCTAGCTCCCTCTCCTCCCAATAGCTACTAGCTCCACCTATGATTATCAATATAAGTGGAGTATCTTAGGTACTCTTCTGATGAACGATAAAAATAAAGACACATCAAATGCACGAGAGGACTTGAGAATTCTAAACATTCGGAGAAATGAATGGTTGCAAAAAAATGGTGACAAGTTTCATAGACCCCATGCAATATACTCTTTCACGAAATCTAGCCGACAACTCTTTTGTCAATTTATAAAAGATGTTAAACTGTCGGATGGGTTTGGTTCTAACATTAGTAAGAAAGTGAACGATACCAATACTAACATTATTGGGTTGAAAGCGCATGACCACCACATTCTTATGCAACGTTTGATACCAATTCGAGTAAGAGGGTTGTTAGACAAAGACACTTATACACCTATTGTAGACCTTTGTTCGTTTTTCAAGCAACTTTGTTCCAGAACATTGAAGGTGGAGGATATGAGGAAAGCAAAAGTAGACATTATTGCAATCTTGTGCAAGTTAGAATTAATTTATCCTCCATCGTTTTTTGACATTATGGTTCATTTACTTTAGCATTTACCTGATGAAGCGATTGTCGGAGGCCCGGTATGTATGAGATTGATGTATCTGTAACACCCATAAAATTCATGCCAATTTAAATATTTTCAAAATATTTAAAGCCAACAGTTATTACAGATTTGTTTTCAAAATAGTCTATATCAGAGTTTTTCCTAGAAACATAAATAAAACATGAGGAGCTGTACGATCATGCCTTCCCCTTGCCGCGATCCCCTGATGTACCTGAAACAATAAACTAAAACTGTAAGCCCGAAAGCTTAGTGAGTTCCCCCAAAATACCGATACACTGCACATAACACATATACAATAACAACATATACTGGATCCACAGCTTTACAGACTGGATTACCCCCTGGGCCCACAGTGTGAGTTTGGATTGCCTTGTGGGCCCACAACTCACATCTGGATTGCCACTGAGCCCACAGTACGAGTCTCCCTCAGCTCGTATCTGGAATGCTCCCG